TATAGTCATTAGCCTCACAGTTTTAAAACGCGTCTACTATAAAAAAGGGTCTAGCTCTACTCCAACCAATGTCTCGCACCTTCGGGTGACTAACTTCAACACCATTTATAATAACTCAAGTTTACTGCTAACAAATATTGTTCACTTTGGTTCATTACTTATCACTATCAACCTCACGGTATTAAAAACACAGTCTATTAGGAAGAAATTTTCCAAACTTTTTAAAGGAAGATTCATGGTCTCCTCCTAAATGGGAAAAAAAAAAAAAAAAAAAAAATCAAACATTTTAGACACAAAAACAAATTTTTTGTTGTACTTAAATTTGTTCTATATAAATGATGGCGTTTCCCAGCTTAGAAAGTACTCCAAACCGAACCGAACCAAACCAAACCCAATAATTTGTGTTCTTCGTTTCATTCTCTCTCTTCCTCTGTTTTTCCTCTCTCACATAGCCATCGTATGAACAGAGCCCATAATCGGTTTGTCAATGGAGCTTCTGAGTTTCTTCTATTTCTGCTCATTTCTGTATTTCCTCTTCACAATTTGGAAGCACTTCGATGAAAAACGACACCAAGAATGCTACATATTGAGCTACCAATGTTACAAGCCGACAGACGACAGGAAATTAAACACAGAATTCAGCGGAGATGTCATTAAAAGAACCAAAAATCTCGGTCTTAACGAGTACAAATTCCTCCTTAAAGCCGTCGTCAGCTCCGGCATCGGCGAACAAACCTACGGCCCAAGAATCATGTTCGCCGCCCGTGAAGATTCCCCGACTCTCGATGATGGGATCTCCGAAATGGACGAATTCTTCCACGACACCATCCAGAAACTATTCGACAAATCCGGATTCTCCCCTTCCGACATCGATGTTCTTGTCGTCAACGTCTCCATGTTGTCGTCAATTCCCTCTCTCTCCGCTAGAATCATCAACCATTACAAACTCCGGCACGACGTTAAGGTATTCAACCTCACCGGAATGGGCTGCAGCGCTAGTTTAATCTCCGTCGACATCGTTTCCAGAGTGTTTAAATCTCACAAAAACATCAACGCCCTCGTTGTAACATCGGAATCGTTAAGTCCCAATTGGTATTCCGGCAACGATAAATCCATGATTCTCTCAAATTGCTTATTCCGATCCGGCGGCTGTGTGATTCTCTTAACGAACAAAACGGCGTTGAAAAACAGAGCAATGTTCAAACTCAAGTGTCTGATTCGAACCCACCACGGCGCTAGAGATGAATCATACGGTTGTTGTATCCAAACAGAGGACGACAAAGGAAACACCGGTTTTCATTTGGGGAAAAACCTCCCCAAGGCGGCGACCAGGGCTTTCGTCGACAACCTCCGTGAAATCGCCCCGAAAATCTTACCCATTAGAGAGCTTCTCCAATTTTTAGTCATGAGTTTCATGAAAAAACTAAAGGGTAACCGGAAACAGAGCGGCGGTGCAAAAACCAGCGCGGTGGATTTCAAAACAGGGGTGGATCATTTCTGTATCCACACGGGTGGGAAGGCGGTGATCGACGGAATTGGGGTGAGTTTGGGGCTGGAGAAGTACGATTTGGAGCCGGCGAGGATGACATTGCACCGATTTGGGAACACATCGGCGAGTAGTTTGTGGTATGTTCTGGCGTACATGGAAGCTAAGAAGAGGTTGAAGAAAGGGGAGAGGGTGTTGATGATAAGCTTTGGGGCTGGATTTAAATGCAATAGCTGTTTGTGGGAGGTTGCGAGAGATTTGGACGGCGGCAATGTTTGGGATGATTGTATTGATGAGTACCCACCGGAATCTTTGGCCAACCCATTTCTTGAAAAATATGGATGGATTCAACATGAAGATATAGCAACCTTCAAACTCCCTGAATAAGGTTTGATTTTTTTTTTTTTTTTTTTTTTTTTTTTTTTTTTTTTTTTTTTTTTTTTTTTTTTTTTTTTTTTTTTTTTTTTTTTTTTTAATAATAATTTGGTAACTTCGTTTCCCTCCTACTTGATTGTGTTCAAAATTTGTTATTTGTGTTTAATTGTTATATTTTTAATTTTGTTTTGTTTTCTTTGATTGTTAAAGTCAAGTGAAAATGGAGATATTAACTATGAAATTAATTTAAGTTTGTGTTTAATGGTTGTTATCAATGAGTTCTTGATTTTATCTGTCTAGAGAGCAATGAATCATCGTGTTTTAAAATTTTAAGAGGAACCCCGAAAGAACAGGTCATATTAAGTCAAATTGTCGAGTTAAAATGTAGGAATCATAACCAATGCGGTACATGAAAGTAAAAGTTCTTCGTATCCAATTTGAGAACACTTATTAACCATTGAAGTTCTTGACCATCTAACAAATATGACTTTAGCTGTACAATAAGATGATGTCTCTACAGATGTTTTGTTTGTGCCTTCTCACATCATATTAGTAGTAGCGTAAAAGTCGTAAGTTGGAAGACGACCATAACATAAGACTATTACTTTCACATCTCTCTCCATCTTTAGATATCTAGAGAGAGAGATAGAGATTCGCTGTGTGATCAACCTGTGCCTTACATGTGCTTTTTCTTTTGATTTGGAAGACGGGAAAGTCATAGAGGACAATATCTACTAACGATGAACTTGAGCCGTTACAAATTCAAAACCTAACTCAACTCAATTCTTTATTTTCAAATTAGGTTTAGTGGAGTTCTTCCTCGAGTTTTGCTTTTCTTAAAAATATATTTTTTAAAATTATTATATTAATAACTAAGATCTCATAAAACTATAATATCAAATACTTACCTGTCAAATATTCTTAATTTTCATAACATTCTTAGAGTTTGAATTCAGTTCGGTTGTAAACCATAGCTTTTACTTGGTCGAATTGGTTGAGTTTACCCAATAAAAAGAAGTTCAACTCGGGAACTGAACCAATTTTTTTTTATTTTCTTAAAATTCAACTCGGTTCTCCAATCACCCGACCCAACCATATGTACAATACTACTTTCATGTGTTTGGATGCATAAATATCTAACTTTTATAGAATACACGAAAGGAAATATGTGTTTATTATGACGTTTGTTCACGTGTTGTCCGTATCTTGGGTTGTAATCACATGAAATTGATTAGAAAATATTTTCAAAATAAATAACAATAATAATTAATTAAAAGGAACTTTTTTTTTAGTGGAGACCATTCTAGAGTCTAAGAGTTTAAAAAGAAAAAAAGTGACCCATTGGTCACATAGTATTTAAACAGCCGAACCAAAGGATGAAACGTGGCAAGACATTATTGGGTGAAAATTAGAAATAAGATAGTAGTATGGTCACAGCCGGTGTCGCTAAATTCAATAATGTACGTGTTCATATCCTATCAGGCCATTCACATTCTATCTCAAAAGCATTTACTCTAACCCCAAATAAATTCCTACGGACCACAACATAAAAATGGTAAAGTTATAATTATAATATTCTTTTAATTTACGTTATAAATTTTAATTCGTAAAATAATATTTTAATATTATTAGTCTCTACACTGTTTTTTGAAAGATCTCAAGTGGGAATTTGATTAATAATTTAGATGTTTTTCTTAAAAAAAATAAACCCACCGCTAATGGATACGGTCTACTTTAGTCAGTTACTTATAGGCGTCAATCGTCGATTTTAAAACGCGTATATTAGAGAGAGTTTTCTATATCCACTGCTTCGTTCCACTTAGTGCTAGAGTCAGACACTAGTAGGAGTATACATGGTCTAGGTTGGGGGACTTTTTTGACCCAACCCAAAAGTTCGGGTTGGTTGGATTGATAACCCAACCCAACTCGAAACTTTTCACAACCCAACCCAACCCATTGTCAATTTTTTTTTTTAAGTTTTATTTATCTACAATTTATAATTATTCTAATACAATCTTAGATAAAATATATTAAAAGTTTACAAACAAACACAAATCAATCTATAATTATTGACAAAAAAAAAAAAAAAACAATAAAAAACAACCACGAAAATTGTNACATATTAACATAGTTCAACATTGTATCACATTTCTTAATAATTGGTTAAAGATCATGAAATTAAATAAACCATAAAAAAAAATTAGTTTAAGAAAATATATAAAAATATTTTAATTGAAATAGGCCTATTTATAACCTCGAAAAATAAAAATATATAAAAATTATAATATAATAATATCGTAAAAAATAGATAATAATAATATAAATATCTAAAATAAAAATTATAATATAATAATATCGTAAAAAATAGATAATAATAATATAAATATCGAAAAATAAAAATTATAATATAATAATATCGTAACAAATAGATAATAATAATATAAATATGTAAACATGTACTTGACAAACGTCAAACTCGGGTGAGTGTCATTGAACTGGCCTTAGAACCACTCTAACAAACCTATTAATACAAAAAAATTCATAATATATTTTATATATCTTATTTGTCTCGGGTCAACCTGAACTTTTTCCCCATGAATCTGAAATCGAACTGATTCAGTTCGAGTTTAGAGAAATGAACCCCAACTCTACCCAAAATACTAATCTAACTTGTTGGGTTGGGTTGATTTGGTTGTCGGATTGAATGTACACTAGTAGACACTAAACAATATACTAGTGAAGACATTAGCCCTCAAAAAAGTGGATTTTGAAAGATAATATCTGCAGAAAATGGAAATAAATCATTTTTTTATAAGGACAAGTAAATGCTCATGAAATATATTAATAGATATAATGAATTGTAGTATTAATGGCGTCATATAATAATATTTTAATTTTTTTTTTCAGTTTAATGATATTTTTTTAAGTTTTTTAAAAAATTAAAATATTAATAAAAATTAAAAAATTCAAATAATTTTTAAAACATTTTTTAAAGTTTAAAATACTAATTGTTTTTATAAAAAACTAATCCGTCAGGCTTTTAAAAATTTTAAGATTATTTTTTAAAGAAATTTATGAATTTATAAATATTAATATTAATTTAAACAAAATTTTGGAATAATAGAAATGGAAACAATAGCGGAGAAGTTCCCGTCCCCGCGCCCCTTTATTTCCCAAGACTGTATTTGTCGACCAGCATCGTACTACTAGCACTGTTTTCTTTTCCATTGAAAATATCATCAAGCAGGTGATCTGCAGTGCCCCTCTAGCATGGAGAAGGCAGATGATCCATGCTCCCCGTTCAAGATTCTAATCGCATGTCCATCTGGTCTTCCTCCATCACAGGTCCTCTAATTACCGCTCTCTTTCTCCGAATCCATGCATTATTATATCTTTTCTAATCCATATGCACAGTCGTAATTGAATTTCTGATTCACATTTGTAATTCTCGATTGATAGGTTTCTGTAGCGTTTGGCGAGAGGTACGATAGGATTCCGCATCCCGATTCTAGCTTGGAGGATTCCATTTCCGAGGTGAGACGCTGGATTTTTTTTTCTTGTTCGTTTTATTATAAATATTCTTATGCTATAGCTTTAGAAATTTCGTTTTGAGCCACTGCTAGGGAGATAATTTGTTTACAAGGCTATTGAAATTGTTAAATCGTTTCAATCTTGATTTTGGAAGCATCTAAGTTGTTCTGCTCCAGTGTTTACATATTCTAAAACGCTACATTTGTTTCGTCGATTAGGAGTTGTTAGTCTTGTAGGCAAGTGAATCCTGTTCGTATCAAAAACATGGTTTATATATTCTTTTGAAGGTTCCAAGAAGTTTATCGTTGCTCAAATTTTTGGAAACATACTATGTGGATATAGTTTTCAGTTCTCCTTTCCTCCTAACATTGTTTCTAATCTTTTTTCTCGTAGATTTGGAACCAACGGCTTCAGACAAACTCATCGTTATTCAATGGGAGAAAGTTCAGAGTACGTGTTTTTATTTTGATTTAATCCTATCTGCACTATTTTGTTTGTGCTTTAACTCGTTTTTTTTTATATGTTTCCGACAATTAGATAGATTACATGATTCATAATTTATGTAATATCACTGTTCTGCGACATGTGAAATTGTCTGCGTTGAAGCTACTTTTTAATCGAAATTATTTAGAAGTAATCGCAAACCACTTAACTAACACTTGTTTCAATCATGTTCGGTATTAGTCTGTATCTAAATTTTGTTTCATCTGTCTGCTTCAGAATGTCAATACTACTTGTGTTGTCTTGTCTCTTTTCCTATTTAATCGGGTGTCTTCATTTTTTTAACTTTATATATATATAAATATATATTCCTGTAATGGAAGTGAATGAACTCAAACTTATCCTTGAGCTGATGAATGTGATGTAATGTTTAGTATTAGTCTATTAGTTCATCATTTTATCTCCACTTTTCAGATGTATTAGACCTTCTTTTGCTTTTTTTTTTCTTACGGTAATAGGGTATCAACTATATATACTCTTTCCAATTGATTTTCAGTATGGAGGATTAACATTGCATAGTGAAGGAGGAAGTTCAAATGAAGATTCCCATGTATGCCTCAACTTAGGTTTGACAGATTATAGGTCTTTCTCCATCTCTGTTACATTTATATATTCACAAAATTTATAGGATTTGATGAGTATTAACATTTTGATATGTGTTTGGACTTTTCATTTTGTACCCTTATCTTTCATATTAATGCTTGATGTCCTTCAAGAGCTTTGATTTCCTAGGAATTATGTCTATATGTTTTTTCTGATAAGTATCCCAGAAGTTATTGTAATGGAAGGAAAGTGTGATGTCCCATTGGCAATATTCCCATTGTTAATATATTGGAAGTTGAACTCATGCCATACTTTTCTCTAGAAAAGGAAGTCTTCTTTCTTTCCTTTTTTTTTCCTTGTTTGAGACCTATATTTTTTCTCCACCTTCAAGAATATTATTTTCCTACCGTTATCGAAGTAGCTTTCTCAAGTTATTTAGTTCCTTATATGATTGATAATTATGTTATTTTCAACAATTAGATTTCCATTTTTTTAGCAAATTTATTTGCAATTATATCAATCAAACAAATATGTGAATATATTTTTAATGGTGGCTAGTAGAAAAAGGCGTGATACTAATTTGAACATGGTGATTATTGAAGTCAGTTTTGTCTACTAACAATTTTATCTCATAATTCCTTTTATTAGGACTTTTGTGGGAACAAACTTAAGCCCATTGTGGGAAAAATTCCTTGTTCCAGCAGAAGGTAACTCTCCATAATTTTATAATTTGAAACAAGATCCATTTATTGAACATTGCTAAGTTCTTGCAAACCGTTTATGCTAGAGTTAGTGTTGCTTATATCCTTATTCATTGCTTGAAACACTGGATACTTGAAACTCAAGTATCGAGAATGCATATCCTCTGGAAATTAATTCACAACCCATTGAAATGGTAGGATTATTTGCAACTAATTTTCTTTCAGAATTTTTTCCCTGCAGACGACTGTATTCGATGTCAGCACACCTCAAGTCCTCTGGGTAATGGTGCTATTGTGGAGACATCAGATGGGAAAATAATTCTGTTGCAAAGAAGTAATAATGTAGGTGAATTTCCAGGTCACTTTGTATTTCCAGGAGGTCATCCTGAGGTATATCCGTTGTAATTTCAGTGTTTCATTGTCATGTTTATAGTTTTTAATCTTTTGGATTGTTTATAGTGCTGAGTTCTGAATATGGCCATCGTCCTCAAAACAAGCAGATCATTGGGCTTCGTTATTTGGTCCAATTTTTTGTTTACACATACACTAAAGATATTCAATTAGTCAAAGCAGTGTATATATATTTGTATGCACACAATCTTTGTTTATTTGTTTCTTTTTCTTTTTTTTCTGCCTCCGTTGAAAATTGTTGCAGTGCCTGCCCATCTACTTTCCAGTAACAAAATGTCCAAAATCTGCAGCCTCAAGAGCTTGGGATAGAATCTCATGACCATGTGAAGGGTTTTGAAGATTCCAATACCATTAACGGAAAGGTTTCACAGGAGATGTTTGACAGCATTATTCGTGAAGTTGTGGAAGAAATTGGAGTACCGCCTGAATCCCTTGTATGTTAATCCCTTCGTCTCTCTGATGATGAGTAGGGTGCTTGGTGTCTTCTATCATTTAAGTTATCCATGTACCTTCTTTTTTGGTTTTATATTTTATGAAATTTTCTATTTTTATAAGAAAAGCTGATAAGAGTTTATTTCATCAATTTAAATGTGTGATGGTAATAACATAGTTACAAGCCCCGTCACTTTCTGTAGTTTTTATTAGTCTAGCGGTCCAAATTTTAGTCCCTTTCTCAACTCATGTTATCTGCTCAATTACAAGTTTAGATGATATATTTTGTCTAAGAGGCTCCTAATCTTGTTTTTTTTTTTTGTAAACCTCAAGTGGGAGGAGCTATCTGTTGTGATGGCGCAAGTCAATTAATTGCTTTTCGAAGTTTTTTTTTTTCATTTTGTAATATGCTCTTCTTATAACTTACGCAGAGAAACCCAGTTTTTATTGGTATATCCCGCAGAGAACTAAATGTTCGACCAGCAGCTTTTTTCTTCATGAAGTGCAGTCTGGAGTCTGTGGAAATTCAAGATTTGTATACCAATGCACAAGATGGCTACGAGTCCACTCAACTTTATACAGTTCCATCGGTTAGTACAATTTTTTTTCTATCAGTGTATCCATTTACTGAGACCGAAACACATCTGAATTGTGATGAGCTTGAAAAGTGAATTCAATAACAATATTTAATTAACAAAGAAGAATTGCAAAACTTCCAGACATTTGAGAGGCCTTTTGCTCTCCAAAATGAAGCTAGAAGTCCCTAATACAACTAACTCCTCTCCTTTACATCACCCTCTTGGCATCTTCATGCCCCTATTTCCCCTTCTTGTGTCCCTACTGCTTCAATTTGTTGTTAACAGAATTTATTTAAGGAAAAGACTCCCACCCCTTCTACTAAAGCGTATACTTCACTCATTCTTGCCTGTATGAATGACCCGCGTAGCATTCTTTGAGCCTAAGTAATTCAATACAATGGCTTCCTTGCTGATATCTTAGGCTCCTCGGTCTATCCCACAATACAAACATCACTGTGGCAGATTCATGGGACCACGGCTCTGAACTGAAACAGGCAGAGGGTTAATAGTGTTGGGTTCAAGTTGGTGCCCATGGTGAGTTATAGCTGGGAAACATGGAAGGTGCACTGGTTCCCCGCTGTTGTAGGTAGGGCAAGTTTAAAGGCTACGTTTCCAATCCTTTCCAAAACTAGTAAAGGACTAGAGTTTCTTGATTCCAACTTTGCGGATCACCAAGCTGACAATCTCAAGTCAATATGGTTGTAGTTTAGAAAACGCCGTGTTCCCTAGCTTAAAAATCCACTTCCCTTCAACATTTAATTGTACTCGAAGATCATTCAAAATGGCTCAGCGTTCCAGCACGAATTGGTTGATGAAGGATAGAAGTGAAGATGACTGACCATGAAAGATTTGAGGTGAAGGGAGACATGTCGTATAGAAGTTGAATTCATAATACTTTGATGGACACATGAGGGCTACTTGAAATCACTCCACATATTAATTAGTTGATTCTTTCAACGATGAGACATGCCAAGCTATAAACGAAGAGAGCACTACATTGCTTCTTTCCAAGTCTGAGTCTTGTATACCTCCCATCACCATTCTTAACAGAGATTTGACTGATTTCATATGGTTATCCTCCTTCCATTTTGGTATAAACTAAGAAAATGCTCTGATATCTAGAAACTACCAGGTGGCTTACAATTCTCCTATTCAACCCAAAAAGGCTATGGTTGAATTCATAAGTGATGCAACTGTGAAAAAGATTGTTCAATCAAGACTACATTCGCCTTGTCAAATCTAAAAAGATTGCAAAGCTAGTTGTTGAATTTCAAATAGTTCGCTACAACATAGAAACAAGGTTCGGTTTGGTGCATCATTTCTTGGCAAGGATTAGAAAGTACTAGGCTAGAATAGGGTGCAATTCAATTGTTCTTGTTGAAATTTAGATGCATATATTGATGCTTTCCCTTGATCATAACTTTTGGCTAGGATCATAACTTGACAGTCTCTCTTTCACATTATAGATATTACTTAGTGCACAACTTTTGGCTAGGATTATAAAAGAAAGACGCAAGAATTATGAGCACATCAAACATTATTTACTTGTTTATTTACTAAGATTTTCAGATTTATGAGGTCACCTGTTTCAGATTGATATAGAGAACATGACGTCCAGAATGCCAGGCTGCCATCATGGTGGATTTTTTCTCTATAAGTTGATGTTACAAGCTGCCAAGGGCGATAAGTTCATTACTGATCATTAGAGTTCTCAGCCTTTTCACATGGATTGGGGAATTTATCCAAGAATAGACTCGAGAACATGTATGAAAGCAGTTAAAGCCAAATTTCTGGCAACCAGGGATCTTTTTTCAGAAGTTTCAATTAGTAGCCATCCAGATTTACTATGACATAAGTTACATACTAGAAAAGATGCAACTCAGACCCATCTCGTCAAAGTTTACATTAGTCAAATAAATTAGCTTTCCCTAAATAGTATTACAAGCAAATGCTCTATGATAGATTGTGTTTAATAAGGGCAGATTTAATCATTAACTAATGTTGGGCTCTGCCCCAATAGCGACAATAGAGATGACTTTCGAGTTACTCCAGTTCCTTTTCATATGATCTTCTTATACAATCAAAGGACGCCTTGGGATCCAAAGGTGAGCTTATCTTGAGATTGCTTATAACATTTTAGCTTCCATTTAAAGGAAAGTATGATAATGTTGTGATGCAGGGTTTGACTTTACTAATCAACCATTCTTTTTATCTCGTTTTGATGCTTGCAGTAAGGCAATAAAGATAAAACCAAGCACGAAGGTATGCCTCATATCTCAATAAACTTTTCTGGTGTACCTTGTTCTGCTGAGTTCTTGATCTTTCTCTCTTATTTTATTGCATTATTAGTCAGCTTCATATTAAATTCCATGCTTCTTGAGCAACGTCTTTTTATGAATTTAATACTATCGTTTTGGGAAATGCCAGTCAATACAGTAGTCGTAACATTGAGCTTAATTTAAGGGATTCTCAAGCTAGATTAGCTGTTGATAGATTAAGTTTTTCTTCTTGAAAAAAAAAATGGAAACATTTGACTATCCTATGAGCCCATCATTTATCATCACCCTGAGTCAAGACTATGTCTGGAGTTGAATGATATTAATTTCACCCTTTCCCAGGGTAAATATCCCATATGAATAAGTCGTGTGATAGATGTCAAAACTCGATTGAACCTAATCGAAAGGCCCTTGACTATTGAGATGGATAGAGGAAATGACAGCATTCGTCTTAGCCCATCATTTTTCATCACCCCGAATCAAGACTATGTCTTGAGTTGAATGACAATAATTTCATCCCATCCCACAGTAAATATCACATACAAATAAGTCGTGTTATAAATGTCAAAACTTCGATGGGAAGAGGATATGGCAGCAGTTATTAACTTTTGTTCGTTGGTAGAATGATTGATCAGGCAATCAACCACTATGAAAGTTACACTGTTCCAAGTACGGAAACACCATTTTGGTTTCTCACACTGAGCTTAGATTAGACAAATAGTTGTATAATAAAGCTACATTCATTGGCGAAAGTCCACAGTCAACAACCCATTACTAGATTTTTGACATATGTGGACTTTCTTTTCCTTGTTTGTTTATTGTACAAAATGCCTATTTATCGATGAGCATGGAGGGTCCCACATGGACAAGGCATTACATTCATGTGAGATAAATTGGGCCAAATACAAAGAACGACCAAGCATGCCACACGTGCGGATAGTTGCCTTTAAAAGATTCCTTCCGCGTTACGTTGCATAACGCACCAATTGAGGATCCCATTTGTTTTTGTTCCTTTTTATACAATATAACTTGTCTTTACTAATTAAAAAAAGTTCGGACTTACTTTTTTGTATTGTCTATTTCTATTAGTTTATTTTTTTAATATTTGATTACTAAATAGATTTGTGGTTGAGTTTTAAGCTTCAAATTGATATTTATGGATTTTAAACTTTAAATTTAGTATCTAATGTTTTTTAACCTTCAATTTTGTGCCTAATGGGTCTGATTTATTTGATGATTTTTAAAATTTACAATCTCTTGTATGCAAAATTGAAAGTGAAGGTTGTATTAAATTCCATTTAGTTTTGTATATTTTATTTAGTATAGGAATTAATAGCATAAATTGCACTTTATTCATGTTAATTTTGGGTGCATGAAAATATTATTATCATTATTTTGTTTTATTTAATTTTGAATTTAAAAGAAACTAATAGTAATAGGAGAAATGAAATGTTGGTGAGAATAATACAACATTTTTAATTAATTATTGGGTAACCTGGATACAAACAAACACCAAGGCAGCCCATGTGACATCTTCGTTCCCTTTCCCATCAGAATCGTAACAAATATAGATATTGTGGCAATCAACCCTTTGGGCACAATATTTTAATACCTAACATATCCATGCAAAACTTTGATAATTAAATAATTGGCAATAATTTCAGTAGCCACTATTCTCTTTTTGAACCTTATTTCCAAGTATTTAATACTTTCGGTCCCATTTGCTAGCTACTCCCTCTATATATGCACACTATTATTTGCTTTCTTTTATAATTTATTCTCGTAGTTTGTGATTTGGCATATGCTTGCGTTCAAGAATCAAATAAATTCAGTATATTAAGGTTATGTGTTCAAAAAAATCACAAGTGGAACACCAAAATATTTGTATTATGAAATAATATCATTCAATTCAATTATAAGGGAGGTGATTCACGCTCTTACTTAACCATGTGAGGTAGGATTTGCTTAAAGTGGACAATATCATATCATTGTGGAGAGTCGTGTTTAATTTTGGTGTGAGAGGTTTGATTGAGAGAGAGAGAGAGAAAAATGTTATATTAATAAGTGTGAGAGGTTTGATTGAATGGCAATTCGGTTGGTTTTGGTGGTTTGTATTGTTTTTATATGTACAGTTGGTCGGAACTTGAAATTCATCTTTTTCTTCATCTCTCTCTCTCACTCTCTTATTTTATTAGTTTGGATAAACCACATGTTTTTTTCAGTTTGTGTCGGATTCTACATACAATACAATATACTATGTTTGGGTTTTTAAAACGACGGCGTTTACTGATATGCAATAGTTGGAGAATATATATATATATATATATATATATATATATTTTTTTTTTTGCTTCCAAATATCTAAATTTAGTTATTTACTTTCAATAAAATTATCTATATTTATCAAATTCATTTAAAATAATAATAATTTTAACTTTTTATTAGGAGTACATGTTTCAAAATATAAAAAAGACAATAGAATAAATTTCAAATTCTTAATTAATTATTTTTTTTCTTTTGTAAATTTTAATTTAGAGCTATAATTGTAATTGCCAACAAGGATAATTTGTTTGTTTTAGTGAAGCCCAATCGCAGTCAACCGCGTGTCCCCACAAGTTGGATCCCATTCATTCCTTCTCATCACCAAGTTTAATTACCTCGTTGACTTACTCGCTAGATTGTGCTCGTATTCCTCACGCGCCTCCTCTTGTTTTAATCAAGATTATAATTGAATTTACATTATGATCAACCAGTTCTCGTTTTTCTTTTCTTTTTTTTTTATTTTTATTTTAGTTCAAAGTTCAATAAATGGTGAAATTTATTTCTTTGCTAACCGTTGAGGTATCCATTTCAATTGATTGAGTTTAGATATTATGTTCTTTGTTAACCTCAATTTTTATGAATTAGTTTATGATTTGACTTCAAAATAAAAATGTACCGAACAAAATATTTATTTTTGTTATCTTCCCTTTTGTATTAATTAAGTAGAATTTTGTGCTATTATATACGTATTTATTTTGCACCGTCAAATTTAATATTAAATAAATAAAAAACATTACGAGATAGAACTAAAATATTTGAACTCTATAAATCAAAACATAGAAACTCAATAATCCAAAATTAAATTAGAATTAAACTCTGATAATAATATAATAGTCTCCTACGATCCTTTTAATAATAGATAACGCTTTTATTGACTTTTAATTAATCAAAATCCATAGTTTTATATATTAATATAAACAAACTTTGAATTTAAGTTAAAATGATATAAATAAATAATATTGTCTAAGATCCCATACCATGATTTTTCATATTGGTTATAAGAAAAGTTTGAAAAACAAGGAGTTGTGAAAAATGTGTGGCGCGTGATTAACACGATTACTTTTGGCGAGGGGCTATCTTAATTCTGTGTTTTATTTTTTAATATATATATATATAAAGAATTTCCTAATTATTATTCTTAATTTTGATGCTCCATTTCTCCATTTCAATCCCATCCTTCAATTTCTTTCCCATTTAACATTTAAAAATTTAAGATTCTTTACACAAATTTTTAATCTCACAACTTTCGTCTTCTTCTTCTTCGTTATCACCAACTTTTCAAAAGCCTTTTCGTTTCGATTTTGATCTTAAAAAAGGTCTCTTTTGATTCACATTTTTAAAAGGAAAAACAAAAACTTTAAAGTAGTTTTTCGATTGGTTGCTTACATGTGCGCTGTCTTCCTCCTCTTCCATAATAATAATATAAATTTGAACTTGTTTCCTTTTTTGATTTCTTCGTCTTCTTCCTTTTCGCCATTAATGAGGCGCTAAAGCTTTCGTGTTTTTCTGTGTATATATAGCCATGTGAGTTCATCATCGGAGAGTTTTTGGGCGATTCCTCTGTTTTTTTTCTTTACAAATAGGTAATGGGGTTTCTTTTCTTTCATTTTTCTTCGGGATTTTGATTCCAAGAAAGGGTTTCTTGAGGCTTTTTTGGTGGGTAAACAGAAGCTTGGAATTCGGTTTAATTTGATTGGGCTTTTTCGTGATACGTTTTTCAGAAGTGGGGATTGGAATGGGATTCAATCGAAGCACAGAAGAACAAGAAAAAAAACAGAGCTTGATTTGTTCTAACAAAAAAGTGATAATCTTTGACGAAAAATGAGGTTTTCCGATCTGGGTTCTTCAGAAAAGGAAGAAAAGAGGCTAATTTGGTGATTGGAATTGGGGGAAAAACAAATTTCGTCGATTCTGATGTTGGAAACTGCCAGAACTCCGCCGCGGGCGGCGGAGAAAAGCTTGCCAAGGAAGAAGATGACGAAGCAATTGACCGGAAAAAGGGATGACACTCCATTGCATACCGCTGCGAGAGCTGGAAATCTAACGGCGGCGATGGAACTTCTGACGAAAGCCGACGAGATTGACTTGAGGGAATTATTGGCAAAGCAAAATCATTCCGGCGAGACGGCTTTATACGTCGCCGCCGAGTACGGTTACGTCGATATGGTAAGAGAAATGTTGAAATATTACGATCTGGCTGACGCTGAGATCAAAGCAAGAAATGGGTTCGATGCTTTTCACATTGCAACAAAACAGGGCTATTTGGGTATGTTTTATTTCTCATCAAATTTCATCAATTTTCTTTGTTTGATCGAAATCGGAAAGATCAAATCAGTTCCCAATTGTTTGTTTTTTGCAGAGATTTTGAGAGTTCTAATGGAGGTTCATCCGGAATTGGCGATGACGGTCGACATATCGAACACGACGGCGCTGCACACGGCTGCAGCGCAAGGCCACACAGAGATTGTGAATTTTCTATTGGAAGCCGGCAGCGGATTGGCGACCATTGCTAGAAGCAATGGCAAAACTCCTCTGCATTCTGCAGCTAGAAATGGACATGTGGACGTCGTTAAAGCGCTCATCACGACGGAGCCGATCATCCCGACGAGGACCGATAAGAAGGGGCAAACGGCGCTGCAAATGGCGGTGAAAGGGCAGAACCTTGAGGTGGTTGAGGAGCTGATCAAGGCGGATTCGCGGTCTATGATTATGGTTGAGAATAAAGGCAATACTGCCCTGCATATAGCTGCAAGGAAGGGCAGAACTGAGGTAATGATTCAAAGTTTGTATGTGTACGCATGAGCGAGCGTTAGAATGCTTTTGTGACATTACTTTTGGTATACTATGCGTAGATTGTTAAAATGCTTCTCAAGCACAATGAAACGAACACGAAGGCGATAAACCGGTCGGGAGAGACTGCCCTTGACACGGCGGAGAACACCGGGAACTCCGATATTGCTCTGATTCTAAAAGAGCATGGTGTGCAGAATGCCAAAGCAATCAAACCAGTAGTGACAAATCCAGCAAGGGAATTGAAGCAAACCGTAAGTGATATAAAGCATGAAGTTCATCACCAACTTGAACACACTCGACAAACACGAAGACGAGTCCAAGGCATCGAAAAACGCCTAAACAAAATGCATTCGGAAGGCCTAAACAATGCCATAAATTCCACAACCGTGGTTGCTGTTCTTATAGCCACAGTGGCATTTGCAGCCATATTTACAGTCCCTGGTCAGTATGTGGACGATCCCGAAGACATACCACCAGGCTTCTCGCTCGGTGAAGCAAACATCGCATCGAGAGCTCCATTTATAATATTTTTCATCTTTGATTCAATAGCCCTGTTCTTATCTCTAGCAGTTGTGGTAGTTCAAACATCAGTTGTGGTTATTGAAAGCCAAGCCAAGAAGCAGATGATGGCTATTATAAACAAGCTAATGTGGCTAGCCTGTGTACTAATATCAGTGGCGTTCTTGGCGCTGTCGTTCGTGGTCGTTGGAGAGCGAGAGAGGTGGCTGGCGATCGGAGTGACGCTCATCGGAACCACCATAATGGCCACCACATTGGGGACAATGTGCTATTGGGTGGTTAAACATAGAATTGAAGCATCAAATCTGAGGAGCATAAGGAGGTCTTCAATGGGGAACAGATCCAAATCCTGTTCCCGCTCTGTCATGTCTGATATTGAGATTCATAACAATGAGTTCAAGAACATGTATGCAATATGAAATTAAATTGTTCTTTTCAAAAATTTTCTCTGGTAAAGAAAAATGTATATATTTTTTTTTTTTTTTAAGGCGATGATTGCACCATTTTCATCTTAGAACTGAAATTTTCAGTTTTGTCGATCATGAACCCTAAGAAAAAATGTTGCTATTATATAATGATAAAAGGCAAAACATCATTATTAAACCAAGAAAAAAATAAATGATAGTAAAATATACGATGCAAGATTAATGCATATGGGTCACAAGTATGGGCACCTGACAGTGATATCATTGGCCGCCCTATCATAGGCCATGGCTGCTTCCTGCTTCCTGCTTCCTGCTTCCTGCTCTGCCTTTATAATCTCACCTGTAAATCTGTACTGTAGTTGATATGAATGACTTTGAATTCTCTGTTTTGCGGGCTGACCATTATTTACAGTGTTCTGTGGTAGGGTGCTTTGGTTTTCACTGTCCATTTTCTTTCATTTCCTGTGTTATTTCTCTTGAATTAGTAGTCAGTTGTTAGTAAATTAGTATTCATACAATTACTAACTTAAACGAGGCTCAAAGCTCGATCATCTGCTGCATGTGTAGTGAACCCTAAACCAGTCAACGATGTTAGACTATATGTCGAAAATGTAACATTATCTCAAACACATTCAAGCTGCCAGTGATAAAAACCACATCTTCAGACACATTTAAAAGGGACGTTCACAGGGCAGGGTGGAGAAAGGAAAAGTCTTCTCGGTCTACATCCATGTCTCCGACGACCCCAATTTGTGTCTGATTGATCCTCAAACAATAACAAATTTAGTTCTGGAAAGTTTTAAATTATTTTATAATTCATAAATCTATTAGAGGTAAAATTGAAAACTTTCAAAATATTTAAATTTGTTACAAATCTATAACTTGTACGGATAAACATTTAAATGTGTTTTAAAAATGACTTATAGGGTGTTCATGTAAAAAAAAAAAAAAAAACAAAAAATACACTATTTTTCAGATCAAAAAAAGTTATTCTATTCACGTACAAACATAAAAAGCTGCATTTACAAGTCATCAAATATATAGTTCTTAAAAATAGTTCTAAAAACAAAAAGAATAAAAATAAAAAAACAGTTTCAAAACAAGCTAGAAGAATGGACTTACATTGATTGGCAGGTGGTTGTTCAAACGAGCAACAGCAGGGTCCTACTTCATTGGAATTAAGGAGCATCAGTTCTAGAAATGCTATTCTGGACTCATTTTTTAAAATCAATATAGAAATTATGTGACAGCTCTTCATAAGATAAACGATGTTCAAACTAAGCTAGTGTATCTTGTAAAACAGCAGAGAAGAAACCCAATAAATCGGCTTATTACAATTACAAGGGCCTACATGATCAATTACGCTTACCAAATTACAAACTATAATTCTACAAATAGAACTAAGGCTTACATGTGAAGAATCCACGAATTACCTTTACATTTTTTATTAAAAACAAAAATTAATGTTGTGGTAGAGCTGGTCTCTTTTCTACCATCTCGTAGTGAAGAACAAAATTATCCTGAAGCCAATGGACGCACATGAGCAATGGGAATACGGGGCAGCAGTGGTATAGGTCATTTCAATGACAAGTATTGACAGAGTACAAACCTTGCGGACGGTTTCAAATGTTTGGGGGTCGAAACAGAGGTACGATCCTCTCTCGTAAGTGTTCGTCTTCACAAGTGGTTCGATGTGAGAGACCCGAATGAACCAGGAACGTTGTTCTTTGTGATAAAACCAGCCTCTATTATAACTATACAAAAAAAGGTTGGTCTAAGCTATTGAGGAAAGTTACGTCCATAAATTACTTATGGTGAAAATAACAAACTGCACAGAGTCAATAATAAGACTTACAGTTCATTTGAAGCATACAACTGAGCTTCATCTTTTGGCATGCTGCAGGACAAGACAGAGCAGATTTATATAACAAAAGTTAAAAAAGGAGAAAAAGAGCGTTAAAAGTATTTATATACCGTACCTAAAAAATATATAAAAAAGTGTCTCCAGAGTAAATTTTGAGAAGTATCCTTGCTGTAGTTAACAAAAAAAGTTATTAGTTGAGAAGAACCTGTTGAAAGTTTCACATAGACTAGGAGGAGGATGTAAAAGGTAAAGAACCTTACATGGAGCGTAGGTGGTGGTTTAATAAGGTAACACTGAGGTACATTGAAATCTGGATCACCCTTAGCCGGCTCATCAGACCAAGGGGAGCCAAAAGTCTTGTGAAGGTTATCTGATGAATTCAAATTTAATCCTAACGTGGTCAAATCAATTCCAAGAGCAAGGGATGCAAGATCGGGATCACTCAACCTTATTACACTTAACAAACCAAGTAAACCGAATGGATCAGGAGAAGATTGAGCTGTCTGCATAGATTTCAAGCCCTGATCCCTAAATGACTGGCTAACACCAGACAAAGGTTGCAATCGGAACTGAGATTGACCGTGATGCTGCTGATATTGCTGGATAAGTTGGTCATAACCCATTCCAGAACCCGAACTAGGAGAGCTCAGAGGTCTTAAACCAATACCAGGAGGCCCAATAGACTGAAGAAAAACAAAGGCATGTTGATGTTGAAAAACTTCATTGGAAAAGAGATTTAAGTTAATAAAGACACCAAGAATAAAAATATATTGATCAATTCCTTGTGCCTGCAAAGTGAAAACTTCAATGCAGGGGGGGGTTATGAAATCTTCATTTACAGTGATAAAAATGCACACCTGCTGGTGATAGGATGCAGCATGTGAAGATGGGAACATATCAGAACCATGTAAATGAAGAAGATCCTGATTGTTTGCAGGCGAAAAGGAGACCGAGCTGTTACTAACTGCAGGAGAATGCTGTTGCTGCTGCTGGGGTCGATGTGCATATGAGCTCCCTAAGTTAAATCCAGCAGACCTTCCAATCTGAAGATCAAAACAGAAATGTTAACAATAATTACTAGCCCGCCCATGACCGTATGAGATAGTCAGCAGAAGAGAGAGCAAAAGAGTGCCCACAGAGAACTGCTGAGCCTGCATCGTAGGCATAGAACTTTCATGTTGGTCTGTCTGATGAATTTCCATCCCATAATCAGCATTGCCACCTGCACAAGATCTAGAACTATAATCAATAAAAGAAAGTGTTTTAAATCCAAAGTACGCAAAAGGTTAGTGTATGTTATGATGAGATGAATTGATAATTCAAGCTGAAAAAAGAAAAACAAGTCAGAAGTCCCCAAGTACCACCTGAGCTTAATAATTGCAATTGCCTACTTGGATAATGAATTTGAAATTCTATTTAAACTTTTCAGCTATAACTACCATGGTCAGCTAGGATATTTACAAGCAATAGTTTTCCAAAGTTACTGTACTTATTCTTGAAAAAAATTAGAGGAAAAAACAGAAGCTATGTCTTATGAGTTACATGAATGCATCCGACTGGAAATAAAGAAGGGATTTGCACCTTTAAATCTAGGTAACGCCGGAAAGTCTTCATTCTGAATGCTGAACTCATGGTTTTGTTGGGCAATAGGACTAAGACCTTGTTTTCTCAGCGAACCTGAAATGTTTACATGACATTTCTAATGGTCAAAATTGGTGCAGAGATATACAATAATAATAATAATAATAACTGAAATTATTTATTAAAAACTGAAATTATTTAATAATAATAATAATAATAACTGAAATTCATCAATGTCTAGTTACTAACTTAATTGTCCTTGAGCACCTCCTGCAGAACTTGGACGACTACTCAACTGAGGGAAATCGTTGATATCAAAAGGAGAATTGTCATTAGAGATCACATCATTCAACATCCCCAGAGAGCTCAGACTATTCACACTCTGCACGTGGCTTTGGGAAAGGGGACCTCCAGCACTAGGATAAGAATTACCCAACATAGAAATGACCTGTTGAGATCCTGAAGCAAGAAATGTCATCTACGTCAAAATAGCAACGAACACTTGTATACAAGGTAGCACATACATACATACATACATACACATACATGTATATATACACTCATATACATATACATATATAAATACAAGCATAGTAATTAATGCGTTTCCATTATTTGTTCAGTATAGCATAAGAATTAAAATATTAATCAGACTAAAGTAAACAAGCACAGCTATATCATAATAACATATACATCACACATAAATTTTGTAGCATTTAGTGCATATTTCTGCAAATTGCACTTCTATTTTGTAACCATTGGCTGAGCAAGGGTATCTCCCTTGTTTTTTGTTGCTTGGCAGTTCAATAAAGTTCTCTAGTTTCTTATGTAAAATTTTAAATATTAATAATAATAATAACACATAAATATGAACATAGAATAAAATAGTACTAGAAAACAAAGTAAAATGAGTAAATAGCTTCCACATGTCACACATCACTCTTTCAAACAAAACAAAATGATTCATTTCCAATATGTTCCTTTTATTTTAGAGAAAAAGTAGTACAAAAGGGAGGATATAATATTACTACAAATAATTACAAAAGCATTCATACAGAAATTCAAGGGATTGTACCTTGTGGAAGGGCACCACTCATCAAACGGTTTTGTCCTTGTACAGATAAACTTCCAGATCCATTATTTGCACCAAGGTTAAGACGAGAAGCAAGACCAGGTAATGACAATCCCCCGCCAGTAGTTATACTTCTTCCTATGTTGCCTCCACTTACCATATTTCCCATTGAACTAGTGATCCGAGGACCTACATTTCCCAAAATTGGAGATACACCCAACCCTGGGACAGCATTTCGATTACCAATACCGGCAGAACTGGAAAGAATCCCAGGAATAGAACCACCAACTGCATTTGTGCTGCTACTAAATCCAGGATTTCCTACAACACTCATACCTCCTCTATTTGCAACTCCTGAGTGCCCGTGAGAGCTGCTGTGAGACAACTAAAGAAGAAAAGAAAACAGTAAAAATGGAGTGAAAGCACATAAACAATTACAAGAGTTTGTAAATAGAAAAAAAAAAAAAAGGGTAAAGCTATGAACTAAAA